TTCAATAAGATGCAAGAAATGTTATTTGACCCTAATAAAGATATCGGACAGCGTTTAGCGGCTCTACAACTTATTTTAACTTTAACAAGTTCAAAGACAACTAATGCGTTCGAATTCTTGAAGCGTGGACAACTAGTATGCTAACTTTCTGGTTGGCTTGTAACAGTTCATTACACCACTATCGGAATTGATGATTAACTCATGTTTATGATTAATTGTATTCAAGTTAACCCGCATAGGTGTATTACTTGCTGAACGAGATAGAGTCATGAGATCTCGAGCAAATGATATTTTGTGTGCTGTTCTTGAATGGGCTCCGAATCCTATTTCTTTGCTAAAAGGTGCTAGCTGTACGAACGATCCAATCACTGAAAGTAAGGAATTATTATATTTACTTATAATTTACCATTCAGCAATAATTTTTTTCTGAATATATATATATATATTTTTTAACACAGCATTTGATTTCATCATAACCGATGTCGTTTTTTTCCTACTGCATAACGATACAAGTTTTGATAGACTTGTTGCAGCTGTTAATGTTCTTGATTCTTTGTTTTTGTTGGTCAGACGCGCGAGTACTGATCAAGAAAAACTCGCGTCAAGAATAGTAGATATATTAGTCTTTTTGCTTAGCTTTTTTAAAATGCGACAGACTGCAGAAGAATCGATAAATAAATTATCGATTTATGATAAACCTGATGTAAATTCGTTATACACTAACGGAACTTATGATAAGGTATGTGAAACTTTGTTTATCTTATAATTATTTTAATTTAAATTGTTATATTTTTATCAAAGTTAAGGTCACTTTTCTTAAACGTGAGATGCAACGTTAATAATGAAAAGGCTTTGCTATCAAGTATACTACATTCGATTAGTACTATTTCTCTTGAATTTAACTCAATAAATACGGTAACTATTTAAACTATAAACAAATAAGTAGTCATTTCATCGATTAACTTAAGATCTTTGATAGATAACTGCATCAACCGACGCGATATGTGACATTTTATTTATTCCCAATTACATTACTGATCATCGCATATTGGAGTCAGTGCTTAGTGTCATTCCTACTGCTCTTTCTGCCAAAATTGCTAATAGTCAAACTAAAGAAAGTCAGACTACCAATGAGGTTTCTTGATAATTATTCATGTTTTTGTAACACGTTAATGCCATTTATTGATTCGCACCTTTA